CCAGTCTGTCCATGCATGCAGGACAGCACCTCCTCAGTATTCCAGGTGAGATTATTATAGGTGCCATGATTTGTGCCATGATCATTTAATCTGTCGATTATTTTTTTTTTCTTACAACATTAAACCAGGTGAAACTAAAACTTTTCCCCTTGAGAAGTTCTGGATAGATAAATGCTGACATATTTATTTTATAATTTTGGTATAGTTACTACTCTAAATGGGTCGCTCTGTCAGCTAAAGGCATGTTTAAAGTTTAAATACTAAATTAGTTGATGATTGTTTCAATAATCGATTAATCCAATTACTTGTTTCAGCCCTAGCCTTGAAACTCCAAGCAAATGTCAGTTCATCTGGGTCTCTTTCTTAGCAAATCATAACTCTTAAGGGAAGCGTGAGGCGCTTCAGCTCCTGGAGGAGTCCAACTCAAGCTTTTAGAGTAATATTGGAAAGGTTGTTGTTCATCAGGGGTCTTTAGAAGCAATTTTCTTACAATATTTTCAGACTCTAAGGCCCCGTCCACACGAAGTCAAACCCTGGCCTAAACGCACAAATTTTTCACCAAACCAGCCTCTCATCCATACGAAGCCGGCGTTTCGGGGGTCTGTAAACGATCTTTTTTTTATTAAGCCTTCAGAGTGGGAAGATTTTGAAACGCCGTTTCGCGTTTCCAACTTTAAGCTCTAATCGCATTTTTTTTTCTGACACGCATGCGTCATAGCGTCGCCTCCAAACACGCATGCGCGACACAGTATCACAACAACAATGGCTCCGTACTGTGTTGAATGGTTGCTGCTCATGCTACTCACCCTGCTGTCGGGCTTACAACAGAATCTTCTTCTTCTGGAATATCTCCAGGAAGAACAGAGCAACATCGACGACATAGTTCAGCACCTGAATTTGACTGAACCACGAAAATGGACCCGCAGGGCAACCATGTATAAATATTAGTGCGCATGCCCAACATTTCGTCGCCTATTTTTGCTTTGGCACCACAGCGCCACTTACAGGCCTGGCATACATTTTGCAGCGTTTTCATGCATTCGTGTGGACGATCACATTTATTTTACGTCTCCGTCTTTACGACAAACGTTCTGGAAAATATTAGCGTTTTGTGTTCGTTTTGACTTCGTGTGGACGGGGCCTTAGAATTCAGTTGCTCAGTTTATTGTCTGTTCTTGAAATCCTTTAGATCAGAATTATGATATATAGCTTTTCAGGATCTCTCTGGTTGGTTCTTCTAGGATTTTTTTTTTTATTGGTTCTAAAGATTAGGAAGTAATCAGGCCTGGGTCTAGCATACAAAATTCAGTCAAAAAAAACCAACAACATAAAACTGTCACACATAGTTGGCTTGGAAAACAGTTTTTACTCCCAACGCTCTGAAAACTGCATTCCCTGCTAGATTAGATTATCTTTGTCTGACATCAAAGTAAGTTTAATCTGGAATATTTAAGTGTGAGGGGGGAAAAAAAAGCCAAATGAATGCATTAGGGGAGGAAAGAATCGATCAGTCTTGCTTTAATGCTCTGCTAACACTTTAGTTTAAATGGTTTTGCTCTGCCATGGTTTCTGCGTTCTCAGGAAGTCCGGTCAGCCACAGTCGACCTGGCGCCCTGCTCGGAGAGCGAAGCAAACAGCTGTTCCCAGCTTCTGTCATTCCAGTAAGTACAGAACTGGTGAGAACGAATGGTTTCACACCTTTACAGAAAAAAAAACACTTCACAAAGGAAGACAAGCTGAGCTACAATCTGTACAGAAAAAAAAAATAATAATCTGAAATGAAAAATGCAAATAAAATTATTTTATGTTTTTTTTTTAAAGAAAAATTACTTTTAAATTCAGTTTTATTTGAAAAGAGGCCAAAAGTCTTTCCTTCTTTCACACCTTTAACCTCCTATCCTCTCTCCTTGTTTAGGCCCGTCATTACCAGACCCCTGGGTTCAGCTCCAGCTCAGCAGAACATGGACAGTTCAGCGGGAGCCAGGGGGTCCATGAGTCCTATGGGGTGGCAGCATCCCAGCACCCCTCCACCTACGCCCCCGGACCCTCGGTACCCGTAAGCTTCGCCAGCAGTTCTCAGATCAGAGGTAAAAAAAGCAAGAAACGGATTCAATCCTGACTGTGTGGTTTTGTTAATAATGTCATAACGGGAGTCTACCTCTTAGAGTAAATGTCAAAATGCAATAAACCACTGAGTGCATTTATGACATTTTAAAAGTTTGAAAAAGAGATGTTTGGTCAATATTGGCATTTGTTTGTTTTTTTGTTTTTTAGTATTGGCAACGGCCAGTACATGCATGCATGTGTTGAGTCATTTCAAAATACTTTATTTATGCTAAAGGGAAATTAAATTGTTTTAAATGAAAAAAAATATTATGAAATAGAAATAAAGCAAATAGTGCATTCAGCAGCCATGCTTTTAGTGGAGCGCATGTATTGCTGCTCCCTGCATTTGCTAGCTTTTGTCAATGTTTAATTTGTTAATGGATAAATTAAGATTAAGATAAATTGAGGAAGAAGTTGCAATATCAGTCCCAAATTATCAGCAGAACATTTTCAGGATCAGTAGACTATTAAAATAAGAGGGATCAATTTTTAAAACCTTTTATCTGTTGATCCTGAGTTAAAAACAATGTTTTTTTTTGTTTTTTTCTGTTTATATCCAGGGGCCTCTGCATTTCAAGCAATGCAGTACCTCCCTCACCAGCAGACTGGATATCCGGTTCACAGCCACTTCGCCTCCCAGCCTGGTAAGTCCTGCTGCATGTGTCACCCTGTCAGCAATATCAGCCGCAGCCAAGATGCATAGCAGGAAACAAATGTCCTTATTTAACAGAAACAAAACTGGCTTGCACCTGAAATGTAAAATATTGTATTTAGAATAATCTAAAAGTGAAGAACTAGTTAGAGAAAAGTAAAAGTTGGACATTTGTGCTTAACTGGATTGAGACTCTCCAGGTGACGTTTTTCAGGAGTTAGACCACTATCAGACGTTTCTTGGTCTTAGAGGCTCTAACCTGCTTGTCTCTCTAAGGGTACATCACTGGAGCATCGATACCCCTGCAGAAGCAGCTGGAACATGCCAACCAGCAGTCTGGCTTCACAGATGCAGTGAGTCCAGTTCGGTTCAGGTCTAAGCTTTTTGTATGAATCCTCTTGTTCTGTTTTAACTAGTATGTGCCAAAAGCCGCTGCTCTGACTCCAATGTTTACATCTTTAAAGGCCAGTATTATTTGTTTCCAAGGCATTAAATTCAATTCTGTACTGAAATCACCGTCAGCTGTTAAGAAATTAATAAATATAAAAAGAAAGATCTTCCCATCGTAGCAGTTTCTAAATACTTTGAAATTCGGCTCCTCCTTCCATTTCCGTCACTCCCATCTCAGCACATCATCACAACAATGCTGCATGCTGTCTACAACTTTTGTCTTAGCAGTATTGTAATTTTGTTGTCAAATATATATTGTCTAAATACAATAACGGCATTGGAAAATGGCAACTCGCGTTGCAATTGAACCTTTCTTGAACGATCGCACATCAAACACAAGAAGTAGCGTAAGTAGAACATATTTCTGCTTGGTGAGATATTTCCACTACACCTCATTGTAAAGCTGGGCACACCACAAAGGAGTTTGCTTATTTCTGGGATTTGGAATTAATGTCAAACTCCCGTTTGTTCACAAGCTGTCATCCGTAACTGTCAGTGACATTTTTAAAATGAAGTCCAAAACATTTTGTTTTAAGAACCGTTTTATCGCTGGGGAGCTTATAACTACAGTAGTCACCCTGGCATCTAATATATTTATCTAATATAGAAGTAAGACTAATATATAGTCTTAGAAGTGTTACGAACTCAGCGGAGGGGGAGCTACGTCCAAGCAGCTGTTTTTGCTCAGCTGATTTGCTGCTGTTGGATTCCTCAAGTACTCATTAATGACTCATAGCAGGGAATGATGCTATAACATCATCTATAAAGCTTAAGATGCTTATTTTACATGATACTGGCCCTTTAAGATGCTTATAAGATGCTAAGAGGATTATTATTTTGATTGAAATCTGTTCAGCATGACTGTATTGAATATTAAACCAAGATGCGTTCATTGTTGTGGGTTATTGTACCTGTACGTCCACTTGACGGAAATTGACTCTAGTGCTTTGGTTCTGTGTCCTGTTTGGTCAGGGTGCTTTGAGGCCCCTGCACCCCTCCACTATGCACCCAGCTGCTCCAGGTCTGCTGCCCACACCCATGGTCCAGATCCCCACTGCAAAGGTATGGGTCCTATGGGCCACTTCCCCACTGTTTAACCTTATTTTGCTGCTTCCTAGGAGGTGGGCCTCATGGATAGCAGCTGCAGAGGGGTTATAATTTTATAACTTTCAAGAGCTACTAGTTTCATCCTCTTCTAACATAATTCAGTTGTCAATCTAGGATAAATTGCTTTTTATTTACTTGGGAGTAGAAGCAAAAATATTTCTGTTTTTGTCATTTCCAAAGTGTACCGTCTGTTTTTATTTTAAGGTTTTACATGTTTTTTTTTCTTTTAAATTATCAGGCTCCGTTCCAGAGCTCCCCACAGGGTGCCGCTCGACACAACTTCCTAGGCCACAGCCAGAGTGGGCAAAGGTTCTACCCCCACAGCAAGTAACCTGCGACGACTTTCATCTTTTCTTCTTTTACGGCAACGTCACCACTTTGATGGTGCTGGAGATGGCATTGGAACCTCTGGTGCATCACTTTGGATTTAACAAAAAAATAAATGAAAACCTAGATTGATTTGTGCCATAATGATAATTTTTCAGTGTATATAGTATGAATTCTATACTCTCCTGGTTTTATTGTCTTTTAATCATTTTTATTTTCCCATAACTTTTAAAGAATAATTTGCAGAGCTGGCTACAGGCACAGGTAAACTCCCCATCCACATGATTTCTAACAGAAAAATTGATAAACTTCATATCAGTTCAGAAAGAAGGAGCTTTTCTCTAATAGTACAGATATAATAAAATAAGCTACATTTCTAGGTTGCTACTGGATGCATCATGAATGATTGTTAGTAAAAAACCATCAAGCTGTCATACAGTGGATCAAATAATGGGTTATGCTAAACTTATATCGATTAGCGTAACCTTTTATTTTTGTATCTTTATCTCCCTAAAGCAGTATAGCTTATGTCATGGTGCCTCAGCCTAACTGTAAATGTGACCTCCAAGCCCTACATAACCTAAGGTCAGCTCTGTTCCTTTTAAACAAGGCTTATTTTGAAGCCTCTGTGACACTTTCGGTTTTAAACATGCACTGAACTCTTTTTGTATCAAAGCTTTCCTGTTTCCTCATCTAACAGTAAACTGATATTTCTAAGGCTTCAAGTGGATAAAACCACTGATGCTTGTAGACTTTGTCCAAACACAGAGATCCTACTGTAAAGCTCTTTCTTATTGAGTCAAGTTTCTTCTATCATCATCTGCAGCATTAACCGGCTCAAAGCATTTGTTTAATAATTGCTAAATAAAGAATGCAATCACACCCATCAATTTGCAATATCTTTATTTTTACTTTTTAGCTTTGTTGTGTATGATAGTCTAGAGATTGTACACAGTGCGGGCTCACCATACCAACACAGCCAAACTATTAAAATCAGCCACAGATCCTGGATCCGAATCTTGAGAGCACAATAAATAAAGTATAATTTCTTCCAGACAGCTTAATAAACAATGAATGCTAGCAGAGGAACCACATCTTTATGATCTCTCTGTCCTGTTTGGCAAATCTAAACAGAACCATAAAGATCTGGAGATGAAGCCCTCTGTTAATCAGAAGTATGTTAAAAGCTTGATCACAACTCATCCCTGATAGTAGCTAAACATTTAGAGATTCAATCAAGACTAAGGCAATATCATCTGTGTTATGTACACAATGCATTTAAACTTTTTCCAGATGTTTATTCAAGTTGTTTAGCTGAACTGAAAGGACAGAAAGGAGACGACGGAGAGACAGAAAGGGGAGGCAGTGTAGCACTGAAGATGCATTAGCTCCCTCTTTTCTCCAGGCTCTATACATCTCAATTGCATCTGAAACAGATTTAGACAAAGAGAAGAAATGATTGATGTCCAAACTAATCATCTGCAGTTTAAATATTGCACAATCAATATGGATTAGAGAATGCATAAACTGATAACAGAAATAAAGGAAGCTAGAAGCCATATCAGGCCATGAAGGGAAACCTACAAACGATGATCAATAAAAGATTAAATCATTCGTGTTGGAGATGCAAGCCTAAAAACATTCAAATATATGCAAAGCAATGTCTATTGATTTGTTGTGTAAGATTCAAATAGTCACTGAACTTTTCCAGTCATAGAAAAAAAAAATGTTGGATTCTGCAGTGCATTCATTTGTTGTGCAGCTTTTTGTATTTTGCATGTAAATCACACCTTTTCCTTCCATTAATAAACTTATACAGTTTTTGCTGGAAACCTCATCACCCCTCTGGCCAGAATACATAGATTCCAGTCAAATTGATTAGTTTCCTCAGACCATAATTTTTAGAAAATAATATATATACTTTTTTCCCATTATGATCAAGGTTGCAATCACCAAGATGCTTAATTTTAGCCTGTTCGACAAGGTCAACAGCCAGTTTGTGTCTTTAGTTTCATTGTACTGTTTGTACACAAGTTGTGTTTCCAAGTTTCAGGCATCTAACTGATCATTTCCTCACTCCATCGAAAGCCAAATGTTTAGTCTCACCAAACTATAAATCTTCTCTTGCAAAATAACGTTTACCTAAATATTAGTGCATTTGCACGATGGAGTATTATGGCCAGGCTAGAGATTTTTTTTATTTATTCAATTACAAGAATAAAGTTGCAAAATTACGAGATTAAAGTCCTAATATTACGAGAACTGACAACTCTTATAAGAAGCTTCTTCTTCCCTAAAATGAGGAATCTCAAGAATCACATGAAGTTATACTTTGGCATCAGTTTGACAAATAAGGAAATCTTTTAGCACAGCAGCATCAAATTGGGCAGAATGTCAAAGTGGACTCGGTTTGGTGTTTGATGGTGCTGTTCGTTATATGCTGGTCGGAGCTTGAATCTTTCTTTCTGAAACGGGTTGTGGTATGAGGACCTAATTCTCGTTATTTTTCAACTTTATTCTCGTAATATTGAGACTTTATTCTCTTATTAGAAAAGAAAAAAAAAATCTAGCCTCGTCCTAATACTCCATAATAGATTTGTTCATTGATGGGCACGTGTTTAATTTTGATACCTATGTGGATTAAAAAAAACACCCAAAAAGAACCATTCAGAGTCCCTAATTATTGACTTGTGTTCATGATTGTTTAATGTCATCTTCAACAGCTTGTTTCAGACCATTGGACCAACATATGCAAACATCATAATCCTTGAATCCTAAAGACAGGCCTTTGCAGCTTGACTCCAACAGAAAAAAAAAACATGGCTGCAGTTTATGGCACACATGCACAAACATTTTCCTCTGGCAGCTTTTGGGTCAGTTTCAAAGAGAGAAAATGTCTGCAGCTCTTTATTTACCTCCTCTGGCTTATTTACTCAAAGCTTTTATACCGACTGCAGCTTCCTCCTCCATTGCATTTAGAACAGTGATCTGAAATAATAGAGAGAGGAGGGTCAGGAGCGGTTCATCAGAAAGCTGCAGCAGAAAAGAACGGCCACAGATGCGACGGTACTGACCAGGATCTCCTCTCCGGCTTCATGTCTGCTCTCCATTTCTTTTCCCAGGTCTCCCTCTGGAAGTTTTAGGTCCTCTCGCAGCTCCCCGCTGTCCTGGAGCAGGGAAAGGTAGCCTTCCTGGATCCCAATCAGCTGTGAAAGAAAACTGTTAACTTGTCATTTCTTCTGTTCTGTGTGTATTTGCACGGTAAAGGTATCAGCTAGCACATTGGATTTTTGCTGAATGAACAAATGCAAAACAGACATTGCTTCGGCAGAAATAATGTGACAAAAGGGACATGTTAAATCAAGGCATGTCCACTTATAAGCATAACAAGTGTCTACAACCTTCTAATCAGTCAGTGGGCCTACATATAGGGCTACAGGTAGACAGTAAGTGCATTTCCAAAAACCATCAATTGGTTCCTAAATAAAAACTAAAATAAAATGTATACTTTTCAAAAAAGAAGCTTTTATGCTTCGATAAAGGTTTTTTTTGTTTGTATCGAAATTTATTTTTTTTTTTATAATTTCCACAAAAAAAAAAACTGCAATGGAAAGACTGTTTTCACATCATGAAGGGTGATGGCACCCATTAGAGCCATGTCTGAAATATGGATACATGTTTTCTTCCATGTGGTTGTCAGAATTATTTTGTGAACAATTGTATTCACATGTAACTTTAACTGGATTTGTTAATGGAAATACCGCAATTATGAAACTGCTTTTTCAAAGTTAGCAGAATTTCGACAGTTTTGCCCACATTTGTAAAAGAAAAGCAGCTACTGAGCTCTTTTGATAACATGGTGTGTACTGCACACAACATGGAACAGATGCAGCACAGGAAAAATTGTCTCAGAGATTAGGAAAAAGTTAAAGATGACTTTGTTAAGGGTAAAGGTAATAAGAACACATCCAAGTTGCTTGATGTTCATGTGACTACAGTTTGACACGTTATTCAGAAAATTAAGATCCATGAGACTGTAGCCGACCTCCCTGGACATAACCGCAGGAGGAACACTGATGACAAATCAAAGAGAAGAATAATATAGCTCAAGGATCATCAGTGTCAGATTGGATCATCCATCTTTTAAGCCAAAGTAGACTTAATGGAAGAAGACCAATGAGGACACAATTGTTGAAAACAAACAGAGATGGCAAAAGTACTCACTTTCCGTACTTGAGTAAAAGTACAGATTCTTGTGTTAAAAAATACTCTGATAAAAGTGGAAGTACTGATTAAACTTCTTTACTCAAGTAAAAGTAACAAAGTACAGGCTTGTAAATTTACTTAAAGTATAAAAGTAAAAGTAGAAACCACTTTTTTCATGCCGCTGCCTACATTTTAAATGGATGTCTGCCAATAGGACTAGATCTCCGTTGTGTTCATTTTCAATCATCTCGTCGTCCATGCTACTATGCTAACGCCACCGCCACCAAGCTGCAATGATTTGCCGCCAATGAATACCGCCGAATCTGTCGATTCATCTTGTAGTGGTGCGTCAAATGCAACGTAGATTCCCATCCAATTAGATTGAATTTGGTATTGATGACGTGAAAAATAATAATGGTAACTCAATTGAAATGATTCAAAACTAAAGTAACGAGCCAAGTTTTTAAAATATAAGGAGTAGAAAGTACAGATATTTGTGTAAAAATGTAAGGAGTAGAAATAAAAAGTCACCATAAAAATAAGTAGTAAAGTAAAGTAAAAATATCAGAAAAATCTACTTGAGTACAGTAACGAAGTATTTGTACTTCGTTACTTCCCATCTCTGGAAACAAATCATTAAAAACAACAGATTGGAATTTGCCAAACTACATTTTGAAAAGCCACAAAGCTTCTGGGAGAATTTCCTATGGACAGGTGAGATAAAAATGAATTTTTTTTTTTACAAGGCACTAGAGCTCCATGCTCACTGATGAAAAATGAAACATTAAGAAAAGAACAGATGGAGGAGGCTCTGTTATGTTCTGGGGTGGCTTTGCTTTATCTGGAACAGGCTGTCTGGAATGAATTCTTAAAACTGCCAAGGGTTTCAATAGAAAAGTGTTCTACCTAGT